GAGGTGCTCCGAATTGCCAGCCTGACTCAAGCCAATGGTCTGTCTCATGCTCTGGTTCCCCCAGGGTGCTGCTGGCTGCTTCAGGAGAGGGCAATGATGGCTCGGAGTGTCCCTGCTCGGTGGGAAAGAGCAGAGGGGGTAGGGGGAACATTCTCCATCAGACCTCTCCCCTGCGGACAAGGTGGAACGGAGGTGGTACAAGACCCTTCATACGGTGGGATGTTACCCACGGTGCTGTGCACAGGTGGCTGTGCTGCTGTCCTCTCACACAGAGTGAAGAACCCTTCTCCCAGTTTAACATAAAAAGACTTCCCAAGCGGTGTAAAAGGAGCTGGGTGGAGGCACCCTTCTCCTTGCCAAGGGTTGCCTTTCCCCAAGGCCCACCTCCAGCATACGACTGTGGGATATTAAAGCTTATATATAAAATGTAATTTTTTCCCTGTGTAGAGCAGCCCTTTGTGTCTGCACAGGAGCTTTGACATGGGAATGCTAGGCAGGGTCGCCAGCCAGCCATGCAGCCTGTTGCAGCCTAACCTTGTCCTTGAACAAAATCTCTCTGACCTCTCCCCAACCCGTGTCCCTGCCTGGCCTGGCTGAGCTGTCATGGGGACCCAGGACTGGGGCTGTCAGTGTCCCCAGCCCCGTGACCTCTGAGTTGTCTTCCCTCTCCAAGAGGCATGCGTCACTCACTGAATGGCAGTCGCCTGCCCTGCTGCTCCTGTGCTCCTCTGCAGCCAGTGGATTCTGCTGAGAGGAGCAAAAAACTCCACCGAAATAATGGAAAGGGATAATTTAGTGTGAGATGCTTGAAATGTAGCGGCATCCAAAACAAGCGGAGTGCTTACCAAGCAAAACCGCATGCTGTCCCTGTCCTGGAAAAATAACCATCTAATGAGACAAAGCATGGGGGAGTCAAGTAATTAGAGTGGAAGAGGCTCTAGTTTGCAGCTGGTTTGTATATGAAAGGTATTTGATTCCCCTCTTCCCTTCATCTTCCTTTCTAGATTCATCCCTCACGCCTCCCTTCCCCACCAATTACAGCCTTTCTTCTGTGCCCTCTCCTCTCCCAACCTTTGGCTTCCTCCCAGCGGGTGGGAGCTTCTCACTAATGAGACAAGAGACGGACATAAATGCATGAGGCCCACCCCAAACAGTGTGTGCCATCACCCAAAAAAGAGTTGGGGAGGCCGGAAAGCCTGCAGGGCCTTTCTCTTTGCCCGTTTGTTTTACATGGAAGAAGTGAGGAGGAGGAGGCGAGGATGGAAAGGTGCAGATGATTAGTTTATTGATCACGATGATTAGTTTCTTGAGCATGACAAACCCCATCGATCTATGGGCAGGAGGCAAGCGCAGAGGTTGTGGCCGTGCTTTGCACTTCCACCATTGCCTTCTTCTGAGGAACTCAGCCTGCACAGCACAGCCAATAACGCAGCTGCCCCGGCAAGGGCCAAGCTTGCAAGCCCTCAAGGTAAACCCCAAACTCTGTCTCAATGCTGGGTCTTGTCACATGATCATTTTTGAATGTCTGTTCCATTGCAGTCTTCATGCTAAACCTGGGGGGGCGAAATACTGGTGGTCCTGGTAAGAACTAGGAGACAAAAATGAGGAGACACACACAGAGCTTTGGGCACCCAATTAGGAGCCCAGCCAGCTTCACTGGGTCTGCTCCTGCTAGCCATCAATATGTTACATGCTCAATGAGCCCCACTTCTCCACCTCCTCATCTGGAGTGATACATAGAAGAGTGTGCTGGAAACTCAAGTAGATGTTCCTCCATGAAGAGCCTTACTGCTAAAATCTTGCCACTCTGTCATCTTCAGTAGCCCTTGAAATGGATGCTCAAAGTTGCCCTCAGCCCTCGTGACAGGTCAGCAGGGAGGTCCTCATTACACCTCAGTGATGATTTTTCAATCTTTCTCCCCATGCAGGGCCAGTGGAGAGCAAAAACGAAGCAGCCATGTCTGAGCTGGTCCCAGAGACGCGACAAAAACCAGTTGTACCGATGAAACCCATGGGCATTAATACCAACTTGCTGGGCTACATCGGTATTGACACCATCATTGAGCAGATGCGTAAGAAAACGATGAAGACAGGTTTCGACTTCAACATCATGGTTGTAGGTAGGCAGGGACAAACTGGGAACCATGGCCAGGGTCCTATGGGGCCAGGTTGGGAGAGCAAGCCCTGCAGGGAGGGCATGAGGGAGCAGACAGTGCTTGCTCTGGGGGAAAGGAGAGGCTGCACAAAGCAAGGAGTCACCTACAGCCCCTTCCTATGCCAGCCTAGATCCATCCCCTGGGCCTGTAGCCATCACCGAGCTGTGGCAGATGTCATGAACTTCCTCTTTGCAATCCTCAGGTCAGAGTGGACTGGGAAAGTCAACGTTGGTGAACACCCTCTTCAAATCCCAGGTGAGCCGCAAATCTTCAGGCTGGAACCGGGAGGAGAAGATCCCCAAGACAGTGGAGATCAAAGCCATCGGGCATGGTAAGAGCCAGTCTGCTAGAGTAGAGGCAATACTGATGCTTCAGCACAGTCTTGCAGAAGACCCCAGTAGTCTATGCAAACAGTTCTTCTGGTATTAGGCAGCCCTTTCTCCATGGGAAGATAAAGGACAAGTGCCCATTTTAGATGGCCTCAGACCCAGCCAAGGCTTTTCTTAAACAGCAGTGCCACTGATGCCACAGCCAAAAGCAAGGGGTAGAAAAAGTTATAGATATTTCTTCTGCCAAGACATTAGTTTCTATGTGTGGATTTAAGCCTTGCTGTCAGTCATTCCCACCTGCAGATGCTTAATGATCTACACAAATTGCATTGATGGGTCCCATCCCAAGCCTGGTAGAGCACATCTCCTCATGGCAAAGCATCAGCACAGCTTCTACAACTGTGCAGAGTAATGAGCATCATCTCAGATTCAGGATGATGCATTGGAGGGGAGGACAATTTGTATAAGGTAGGCACTACCTCTGGGCCACAGACTGAGCACAAATCCATTTTCCTGTGGCAGAGTGGTATAAGGCAGCTTTGGTGCTGAGGTTGCCAAAATCTGGGGTCAGAAATGCAAGTGGAGGTCACACCTGTTGAGGCATGACCAAGCCTGGCCTGGTCATGCTTGCTGGGCAGGGATGGGGGCAGAGCGCACTTGTTCCCTTGTAGGGCACTGAGACATGTTTCATGACAGAGCAGATCCCCAGGGAGGCATATGATTGTTTGCAATTTCTTCCTCAGTCATTGAAGAAGGTGGTGTCAAAATGAAGCTGACAGTGATTGACACGCCGGGATTCGGGGACCAGATCAACAATGAGAACTGGTGAGTTTTACATGGTCAAGGCCTTGTGCCACAGAAAGGGCTGGAGTTAAGATGGTATATGGAGCCACTCTCACCCACTTGGCCTGGAAAGCGTCTGGGATCCCACTCAGGGGACTGGTAATGGGAACGTGGAATTGTGAACACCATGGGTCTGTGTGCATGCTCGGGGATACGCACACATCACATAGCAAGTGTCTGCCATGCCCAGTTACAGAAACTCCCAAACATCTCTGCTGATGGTGAGATGCTTGTGGGGGGATATTTTTTATGCCTGCTTTGCTGCTGTCAGAGCCGGGAACACTGTAGGCAGGAACAAGAGGAGATTTGTACCTGTCTATTCATCTCTCTCTCCCACCTTAACAGCTGGGAGCCTATTGAGAAATACATCAACGAGCAATATGAAAAATTTTTGAAAGAGGAGGTGAATATTGCAAGGAAGAAACGAATTCCAGACACACGAGTGCACTGCTGCCTCTACTTCATCTCCCCCACGGGCCACTCGTACGTACAAAGTCCCTCGACCTTCCTCAAGCCCTTGGTGCCTCTGTGCCAGACATGTACCCTGCACTGCTCCGTCTCAGCCATGGACCCAGGGGTCCTGCCTGCGGGGCTGGCCACTGTTTAGCTAAACCTCGGGTGCTGCGGGGCTTGAAAGGGTCTGGGATAACAAGGGCAGGAGAAACGCCACTGTTTTTTTGGGAGAGGGCAGGGTGCACGGGAAGAAGGAGATGAGAGCATGGTGGCAGCAAGTGGGGTACATACAAGGGAGGTTTCATTGGCGCCCTGACGCTGGGGGAGTCACTAGGATGAAAAGCAAGGAGGGTAAAGTGACCCCTTCCATGTTGTTTCCCTCTTGGGCTGCAGCCTGAGGCCTTTGGACCTGGAGTTCATGAAACATCTCAGCAAGGTAGTGAACATCATCCCGGTTATTGCCAAGGCTGACACCATGACCTTGGAGGAGAAGACTGAATTCAAACAAAGAGTGAGTAACTCCTCTCCCGCATGGGATCCTTCCCTGCCCGGCTTGGAGGTGGGAGAAATGAGCTGTATCCTTCTTCCCACGACTGCAGCGCTGTCCCCAGGGCATGCACTGAGTCCAACGCTGGGTTGGTGTGTAAGTCCTGAAGATGCAGCTGTTTATGGCTCTGAGGGCATCTGTTAGAGGGGAAAGAAACGTGTGTATCCCTGTGACATCTCGTGATATGCTCCATCATGGGAACTGCAGAGCCAGACAAGTCACTGTGGTTGGGGAAGAAAGACTCATCATTGCTGCCATGTGCCCTCACTTTGCTGCACACTTCCCTGGGGACAATCCCTCCAGCCCTTGCCCGCTGGAAGGATGTCCCAGATGTGTTTGCCTGGCTGTCCCACCTGCCTTCCCTTCAGGTTTGTGTTGCTTTGTGCTCAAAATGTCTCTCTGCCCAGGTGCGCAAAGAGTTAGAAGTAAATGGAATCGAGTTTTACCCCCAGAAAGAATTCGATGAGGACTTGGAGGATAAAACCGAGAACGACAAAATCAGGGTAGGAAACATTTTATTGTGGGAGGGGAAGGGGGCATGAGGGCTGGTCATATTTAACGAGTGTAAAACAGACATGTGTCACTAGAAGATTTTATGTGCTTCATGGCCCCTGAATGGAAGATCCAATGGATGTAAGGGATGGTCGTTCCTCATTCCTCGCTTAATTTGTCCCTGTTGTTACTACAGGGTGCTATGAAGGCTGAGTGAGGAAGGACTATGTTTCAGCTCCTCTTGCTGAATGCTCTGTTTGGCCTCCTTTAAGTAACAAAGGGGCCTGGTATGTGGCTGATGTCCAGCCTTTCTTCCAAACAACTGCCCCATGAGCCCTCTCATCTGCTGACCAAACTTGACCTGAAAAGCAGTCCAGTTCTTTGCTCCCCCAGCCCCTGTGAGAAGACTTGTCCCATTCATCCTTCTTCAGAGCTGTAGAAACTGTCTCCTAATTTCCAGCCTGTGTTTGTTCCTGGACAGGATTATATCTGTGTTCTTGTGTCAACACTGACTCAAGCAGTTCTCCTACCTAGCGGTCCCCTCCACCACTCAAGGCATTTATAGAGAATACTATTGTCCTTTTGCTGACCTTCAGGTCAGCTAAAGGAGACAAGCTCCTTTGGATGAGCTTCCCATTCCTCGGTAGTCCATGCTCCTTTTTTCTGTGTCTGCTCCGGTTTGATTTGATTTGCTAGCACTGGCTCTGGTGCCCCATGCTCCTCTGTCTCTAGTGAGATCTGAATTGCTAAGCCGGTGGATCACATGTGCTTTTCAAAGTCGTAGCAGAAATTCTTGATGTTATTCCCTAAATGCTGCTCTTTGTCCTTCAAACTTACATCTTTCCGGACAATAGCCCAGTCCTTACATCTTTCTGGACAATAGCCCAGTCTGACTTTATATTGACAACACCTCTTGGCTTTGTGATGCTAGTGCATTTAATTATCCCATTCATCTTTTTTGTGGCTAGGCCATTAATGAAAATAGATTGGCCTCCATGGCAGTCCTCAAGAAACTCCAGGAACCTTTCTTTGCAGCCTGACACTTGCCCTTTCAACTTCCTCAGCTGTCACAGCCCCAACAGAAATTCCCACCTTTCCCCTCTTAATTAATAATTTCCCATTTGGCAATACATCATACATTCTGGAGGTGACTAGAAGGGTTTTGCTTCTTCTCCAAACTGTTACTGGTTTTGAGAAGGGCACCACATTTTCTTCTGCACTTCAGCATCATTGCCCTAGGTTTGGATAGTCTCACACATAAGAAATAAATTGCTTTTTAACCTCTATTCCTGTGGCAATTACAGTCCCTTCACAGGCCCAAGGACATCTATAAAGCAGAGTAAATCCATGAACACCTGCACAACCTTATGGACAGCAGGGTCTCCTGTACCCTGTGCTCTGGAAATGGATGGTTTCTCCCTGTGCTTAGAGATACCTGGGTTCCCCAGTAGCCTCACCTACTGTCCCACTTCCCAGGAAAGCTGCACCGCTACCCCATTTCTGGCCTACTACTATTTCAGCCATTGAACTTGTTGAATGTTCATGTCCCTTGTTGGGGAGAATTATTTTGAGTCCTCTCCTTCTTCTGGTGAAGAACTACAAACTTGGTGAGAAATACTCACCACAAACTATGAGCAGCCCTGGGCTGACAGACCCTCTCCTGGTTATGCCAAGGTACTTCTTCTCTGGACATCCCCCTCTTCAGAAATGCTGGAGGTGGGTGCAGAAAAGCTCTGCCCCACGCTCCAGAGCCCTTGGCACTGCTGCAAGCTACCCACTAAGCTTGGGGCGTGCAAGGGCCCAAAATGCTAGGGATAGAACTGACAGGTGAAAAGGACAGCCAGTGAAGTGTTGCTGTGGAGAACCTCTTCCCTTGGAGAAGGCCTTGTGTTTGGTGACCTAAGAGGAGGAAAGGTGGATGGGGAATAGTGATGGTGCTGCTCTCTGGAATGTGTTCAATAGGTCTCTCCATGTCTCTCCCCAGCAGGAAAGCATGCCCTTCGCAGTAGTGGGCAGCGACAAGGAGTACCAAGTGAATGGCAAAAGAGTCCTGGGCAGGAAAACACCTTGGGGAATCATTGAAGGTAAAAAAAAACCCTTGTGTCTGGGAGCTGAAAGTATCTCTGCAGGCCCTGGTAATAGACAAGGGTCCAGATAACATGTCCCATGGCTACCTTCCCATCCTTTTTGTGATAAACTTCTTGAAACCAAGCAAGAGGAGAATTCTCAAATAGCTCTGCTGGGAGGGAACTGCCATGGTCAATGCGGTAAGGCTACCACCAACCGGCAGAAGCTGGAGCCACTCTGAACACCACGGTGCGTGAAGCTGAGCTCCTGAGGTTGCCTTGATTTTCAAATGAAATTCACATGTGACTGCTCAGCACCTCTTAGCCTGTCTCCTCAGTGCCTGACAGCGTGGCATTCAGACAACTCTCTGTCCTTTCTGAAGTATGCAGGCTCTGCCCACCTGGAACATGCCCCATGGCAATGACCTTCCCATGCTCTGTAACCACAAAAGGGTTGTTGAAAAAATCAAATGTAATAATCACTTGCTTTCTTTTCAGTGGAAAACCTCACTCACTGTGAATTTGCCCTACTTCGAGATTTTGTCATCAGGTAAGGCCGTGGTCAGGCACCAGTTTGCTCTTGATAGGCAGGGAGTCTTCCTGAGATCCTCTTAAAGTGAAATAAGCCCTATGGAAAGGAGAATAAAGTACATTTCAGGCAGTGAAAGCTTATGTGGGGTAGGGTTGGGTTGAGTTAAGGGGTAGATACTCTAGTGCCTCTCTTAGTGACATGACCACTATGTCACGTAGGTACTAGTTTTCGTGTATGAGCTGGATGCCTGGAGAAAAGCAGGGTACTACCACCCCCCTTATATCCCATTAAGGATATCAGGTTGTAACAACTTCCATTTGTTGCTGACAACAGGTCTGGGCTGGAGTCAGTGAGAAAAAGGCCACGAACCACATCCTAGACCGTATGTCCTACCAGGTTGAGGGATGTGCTGGAACATATGACCTGGAAGTGAAAAGCTCCGTATTTCACTCAGCTTTTATTGTCCTGTCTTATTTCTACACTGTTTCATGAAGTTGTCTCAGCACAAGTAGTATCTGCCCCAAATTCTGTAGAGGAGTTGCAGATCCAGGGTCACCTCAGTTTCCTATGAATACAACAAGGTTTTAAAACAACACCAAAAATAAGAAAATAAGGGAAACACACTTCAAAGCCAAAGCCTGTGTCTCATTCCACCTGTGGGTATGGTGGTACTGAGACACTGGCCCAGTTACAATGCTTTGACATCACCCTACTGCCCTCTTTTTGTTCCGCGACACCTTCTGCAGCAGACCTGCTTTCCTTAACTAAGTCTTCCAGTAAAAACTCCCTAACCAAGTGATCATCACAAAGCATATAGCAATGCAAGCCCGCAGGCTTTCCATGGAGGTTTGGGATGATGCTCACAGCAGTGTCCTGCAGGTTATGGTCTGAAGTGGACCCAATACACCCTCCTGGTGCTTCCTTGTCTCACCACTGCTTCAGATGAGACCGTGTCTGCTGTGACACAGGAGGAGGGCCAGTAGCTGTCCCACTGGCACAGGTGTGAGAGGGGCAGGACACTGGCAAGCACAGCCAAGGATTTCAGCCGATATTGTGCATCCTGCATATATGTTCTTGAATGCTGATGCTCCAGCTCTCGCTTGAGTATGGTGGCACCCATGCCATCCATGCGGAAAGTACAGTCATTAGCCAGACTGATGGAAGAAAACTTCCATTTATCTTGGGGAGTATAATGATCATCAGAAGATTAATATGGACCGCGCTGATATTGGTTATCGTAGCCTCTTTCCAATCCCATCTTCACTTTGCCCGCTGCAGGACCCACCTTCAGGACCTAAAAGAAGTGACCCACAACATCCACTATGAGACCTACAGGGCCAAGCGGCTGAATGACAATGGAGGGCTGCCCCCCATGACTGTCGAGACAGAGGAAAACCACGAAAGTAACCTGTGAACGACACACCCCCCTCTCCCCGCTGTCACCCAGTGTCTCTGGATATGACAACCCACCCCTGCTACCCTTGACTCTACCATGGGCCTGTCTCTGCAGCATGTGGTGCATCCTCCATGTGCGTGAGAGGATGTGAGCGTGAGTGCGTGCGTGGGTGCATGTGCCTACCTATGTGCCGGAGAGGGACCAAAGGCGTCTCCCCTGTCCTTCCCCCAGCGTGTCCTCATCCTCGGTTTGTTTTTTGCACAGCGGACTGTCCGTCATCTTCCTTTCTCTCGTTTCTGTGTCTCAGCTGTGTGTCTTGCCCGGGGGAAATAGGGATGGGGGGGAAGGATTTCTGGGGGCAGGAAGGCTTCGGAGGCGGGAGGTGTGGGGCATGCTGTGGTCCTGTTTTTATCACTTGAAGACATGGCAAGGAGAGACTCCAGGAGAGACAGTGGGGCTGGTGCATGCAGCATCTTCAAGCGATGGCAGCAGAGATATCTCTTGGGTCCTTGGTGGGTGGGAAGGCAGCTGGTTGGTCTGAGGGCATGGTGGCCCAGCATTTTATCCCCATTTCTTGCTGTGGCTTCACAAGGGGAAATGGCAGCTTGGAAGTGGATAGATGGGAGAAGTGACAGACTGACATGTTTTTGGTTCAGGGGAGGTGACCAGTGGGAGGCGACAGAATTAGTTCTTGGGCTGAGAAGCATCAGAGTACTTGGGGGAAATAGCCATATTTTCCAAAAGAAGCAAAACCCAGAGGAAAAGAATGTGTTCCTGCTGCAGAGGGTGCATCTGCCCTGCCCATCGCTAAGATCAAAAGCCACGCTTGCGTCACAGGCTTTTGATCCTGTGCGGATCAGACCAAGCCGTCCTGAGGTCATCCCACCTCATCCCCCATTGCAGCCATCTCCCTCCAGCAGCACTGAGCAGGTCCCAGATGAACCTTTCCCCCACAACATGGCCCCTCTGCTGTGGGAAGACAGTGCCACAGGGGGTCCCTGCCAGGAGCTCCCCCAGGGACAGCCCCATTCGGCACTGGGCCTTTGGGATCTTGGAGGAGTGGAAAGAGCCGTGGATTAAGAAGCACTGGGACAGGGTGTCTCCCTGGGTCTCCACCGGTGGTGCGAACACAAGAGATACCTCCTCCTCACTGAAATGGCTGCATCTGCTCAAGCAGTCTCAGCTCGTGCTGCTCCTCCGCCCTCCTACTGATCTCCCAGTTTCCATGTCTTCCTCTCCTGTGCTTTTTGTCCTCGTTCCCTTTTAGCTGTCCATAGCTTCCTTCCTTCCTTTCTTTCTGAATCTCATGTTCTCTGCCTTCAACCCTTTCTGCCTCTCCTTCGTTTCTCCAAGTACTTGAATCTTCCCCTTCTCCAGGCTGTTTCCTCCCTCTCCCAAGCTCTCACACCTCCTCATCAATGTGCTTTTGTGTCCCATTGAGGAAACATCATTTTACCTTCCCCTGGAGAGGACGGGGACAGAAGGTAAAGCTGCAGGAGCAGAGAGAGGCACAGCTTTACTGAAGACTATATGCTTGTGTCTAGCTGGTGTCAGCTCTTTTCTGGATGTCCCTGAGCCAGGTGGAGAGCATCAGGGCTGGCTGGGCAGAAGGGAGGAGGGGAGAAAATCATAGACGTCCTGAGTTTGGCAGTGTCTGCCTGCCACCTAGCATATCACATGGCTGGCAGGCATTGTCACCTCCAGGAGAACAGCTGGTTGCATTTAAAATGCATGTGCAGAATGCGATGGCACTCTATGGCAGCACTGCGGTGGGTTTGGGATGGGGGTTGGAAAGGCTGGTGCCGGAGGAAGAGGTCCCAGAGAGGGAACAGCAGAGGAGGACTTAAGCCAGGACTGAGGTTGGCTGACAGAGCTATACAGGGGCCAGGGCTGGGAAGAGGGTGCTCCAAGCCTTAGCAAACCCATCTAAGAGCATATGTCCACCTTGTGGCTTTCTCTGGTGCTGTCACTGCAAAGCCAACATCTCTTCACTCTCGCTCCCACCTGTCCGCACAACTCGGCCATTCCCAGCACCGCTAGGATGCGAGGGCCATACCGGCCCTTCGCAGGCCTTTCACCACCCACGTTCATGGCTCCTGGTGTTCCCGTGTGCAGCGTGGGCATACAGCCTCACACCCGCCTTCCCACCCGCACCAGGCCTCCTCGGCCCCACAGAGAGTGAAAGCCTCGTCACTGGTGCCAGCAGCTGTACCACGGACCCCACAGTCACTGGTGCCAGCAGCCGTACCACGGACCCCACAGAAACCGTCCTGCTCCGCGCCCCCCCCCCCCGCCACCCACGCTGGCCATCCACAGCCCAACGCGGGGGTCAAAGTCTCCTCCCAGCTTGTCTCCACCAGCCGGCCCGGCGTGGAGGGGTGTCCCCAGCACCACCGGC